TAAAACAAATTTGAGGAAGCACTTCTTTACACAGCGTGTAGTTAGAGTCTTCCTGCTAGTGTAGTGGAAGCTAAAACCCTGGGTTCCTTTAATCAGAGCTAGATAAGATTTTAACAACTCTAAGCTATTAGTTAAGTTCTCCCCAAACGAGCTTGATGGGCCGAATGGCCTCCTCTCGTTTGTAAATTTCTTATGTTCTTATATCGTCCGGCTCCCCAATAGACCACGAACTACAGGTACAGGTATGAGGCGAGAATTTCAGAGTCACAACAAAACTGTCAACGGACCCCACATCTATAAAGAGATTTTGGTTCCCGGTTTTCGTTTATAATCATACTAAAGAAGATCAGATAACTGTCCGCTTCCCCCCGTTTTCCTACCTTATCATCAAAACCAAAAAAGGGGATTCTTTCCTGATTTCGGACCGTAAAGTGTGTCAGCTTAACCACTTCAAAACCTCTCCTCAAGTCTCCCCAGTATGTTAGGCATATTATCCAATATATACATGTTTTTGTTACACTCAACCAATAGCACATCTTGTTTGGGGAATCGGTACCGCGTGAAGTTAATTCACTAATTAAGTTCATTAGATGAGCGGTTGGTAAAATTAAACAAATACATGGACTGGGTTGTCCCTGAGAAGAGGTTTATAAAGCAAAGCAGTGTTCTTCTATCTGTCCAAGATACCTGCAGCAGCGTTTGGGAGAACACAAAGAAGTCGAATACTTTGTATTACTGTTTATTGTGCAGATAAATACTTTTAAACATGATTTCATTTGGCTGTACTTCCAAACAAAAACATGACATTACAGCTTAATTATGAAATATAAGAAATGTCAGTGTGTCTTTTCTGACACTACAGGTCGGTTCATACAGCATGCTTATGGAGGGAGAGTCCATCCCTGTGTTTCCATGTTTTCTGTGGAGACCCAAGAATGTGGGCATTTTAAACCTGAACCTGAGAACCAAATTTGTATGTGAGAAAAGTACTTCAATAAATAAAACTACATTTTCAAATCCCTCCATAAAAGATACATCTGTTTTAAGATGCTTTTAGATATTCTTACATGGAAAATGATATGCCGACTGCACTTCCCGCTTCACTCTCCCGAAGGTATGAATATGAATTATGTAAGAACCTGCATACTCCTGAACTGGTTAGAAATATTAACCCAAGCTTCGCAGTCCAGAAAGCAGTGAAGACTTTTCGGAACCGGCCCTGGCTAAACCACGGCCAAGCCTTGAGAGACGTCCCGTCCAGATTGTCCCACGCCTCACCCCATATGCACCCCCGGCTAGGGTGCAGCTTATTGAGGTAAGCGCGTTCTGAAGCTGTCACATGACTCGTGTGTTTGCGTTTGGGTTTCAGTGCAACTAAACTTGCTTTTGGGTCGGTTCGTGTCGTCACCGAAATCCTAAGTGATTATTGGTGCAGTGTTTTTTTATTTAAAAGGATCGTCTCCGCCCCATTGCAGGCAAGATAGTATGTGGAGGTAAACTGTGTCAACTACTCTGGATCGCCTAGTTTAAAGTATGTCAAAGTTAGTGCTGTTTTTATTGTGCGTGTCTTGCTTATGCTTCTATGGCAATTGCATTATGTAGGCTAGTTCTGCTATTTCCCAGTGATGTTTATTCAGAAAGATACGTATTTTAATAGTATTAAGCAACTACTGTACTAGCGTAGCGTTACATACCGACGTTTATTACCCGGACAACATATATAGCCATAGGCCTATGTCTAAAAATATATTCTTAAAAAGGAATTCTTTATTAACACAAGTATATATGTAAAAGACGAATAATACATTTTTTAGAAGCACTCATGTCAACCGAGAAGAGATTATTTGCGTTATGTAAAGAATAAGAGATTGATTATACCCGTGTTTAGTAGTTCCAAAGTTAGCACCTGTGTTGGGACCTCTGTCGGATTAAAGGGAAACCAAGTCGAGGTTTAAGAAATTTACTAACTGTGCAGTGTCACCTCCATACATTACAGTCCTTCGGATTATTATTATTATTATTATTATAAGTATTAGTTGTTGTTGTTTTGCGTGCATACCATGTTAGAGCTTACGCGTTTAACACAGGTTTAAGTGCGTTTTTTTTTTGCATGTGGTTTTATAAGCGATGTTAGATCATCGGTGCGTACCCATCTTAAAGTAACATCACGATGTGTAATCCCGATTTGTACCAGGGAGAGTCAGTGATAAGCGTCAGAATTCACGCCCCGCGTCTTTATATTTCAAGAGGTATTCAGCTTATATGGTGGTAGAGATGTACTTACACATAGTGGCTGTTCCTGAAACCTGAGGTCCTGGATTTGGGACTTGTGTTCGGCTGAGCTGAGGTGACGAATCTTGCTCAGAAATGCCAATCTCTGCAGTTTTACAGTGCCTGTTGATTTCTCGCCGCGCGCCAGCCCCGAGACCAAGCACGAGAGCCATATGTTTACAATAGCCACCCCCTCGCAGACTAGAGTTTTACTGGATTGTTGAATTCCCTTTTTGGGATTTTCTTTCTGGGTACTACACACAAGGTGCCATTGAGTAGGTCTTTCAACAGTTTCAACAGTCCCTGATTACAAATATAGGACACGGGAACTGAGAGTCTAGTGATGAAAGTCACAATAAGACAAGCTTGAAACAAACATTTATTCAAGTTAAAAGGAATTAATTAATTCATTCGTTAAAAAAATATTTCTTTGAATCTTCATTTTGTACCAAAAAGTCTCGTACTCCATGTCTTTTTTCATATTTGTATAACGTGCTAATCCTGGGAGGAGCCACTGGATTGATAGAATAGTCTTTGTTTATTAAAATATAAAATATGTAAGATGTTGGTGAGCTGATTCTACGTCACTGATAATCATGGATCTATGGGATTCCCTGACTCGGCAGAGATGGCGTGTGACCTCTGACCCCTGTTGCCGGTAAACGCCGTGGACCATGGCTGCCCCAGAAGCTTCTGGAGGGAGCCAGCTGCAGAGGATCGTCCGAGAGCTGCAGGGTAGGGCGGCAGAGTGTGTGTGTCCATGGGTTTTTGTGTGTGTGTGTGTGTGTGCTTGAAGCAGAGCAGCTTGTTGTCCACTGATGGTGAGGGAGCTCTGAGCTCGCCAGACTCCTAACTTGGCTTCCCTTGCTGCTGGTTCCTGGGATCTGCCGTGGACAGGCAGAGGGAGCGGGGTCACGCCATCCTGCCAGACTCGTCCCATTTGTCCTTTAATCTACTGCTGTGGTTGAAAGGCATGCTGCTCTCCATGGAGTTCCACAGTAGAAAAGCACGCCAGTTCGGACTGGGGAGGTTTTCATAACGGAGCTTCCCAGATGTTCCGCTTCTACGCACTTTATTCTTCTCAGAAAGCCGTTTGCTCATACCGCATCATTGCCTTCAGCATGGCTCACTACTTTATACTCCTTTTGCAACTACATAGTAGAGCTTTTGTGTTTTCTTTGCTGTTTTCAGATTCATCTACTCTGGAAATTCATCAGTGTCACCTTCAGTGTCATCCCCACGTTCTGATTTCAGATCTCAACTTTGCCTCTTATTGTCTGATAAATCCTATGACTTTTCAGCTCAGTCTCCACTGTGATTTCCTCATTACCACACATATGTACACGTCTCTGAAAATGTGTATGTATATTTATATGCATCATCATCAGTCTATGAAATATAATGGATTTCTCTGTTCCCCATTGTACTGTATATATTCCCTATGTAAAGGCTTTCCCTGTTTGCCATGGTATAGATTCCCTATATAGTGGCTTTCCTTGTATCCCATTCTAAATGTTTCCTATGTAATGGCTTTCGCTGTTCCCCACAGTATAAATTTCCTATATTAGAATTATAATATAATAATTAGATGATCAGTGGTCATTGTTGACACACCACAGCACACCAGGCAGAACAACGAAACGTGTCCTCTGCATTTAACCCATATGTGACATCAAGACATAGCAGGGGGCAGCTAATTCAGCACTCGGGGAGCAGTGCTTGGGGGCGGTACCTTGATCGGGGTACTTCAGTGGTCTCTTGCTGGTTGGGGATTTGAACCAGCAATCTTTCTATTACAAGTGCACTTCCCCTAACCATTAAGCCACCACTGCACTATATAGTGGGTTTCTCAGTTCCCCATTGTATAGATTCCCCATGCAATACAGTTTGCTGTCAAAATATAATTAAATTAGTGGTCAAGTTGATTTTCTGGAGGACAATTAATCATTTAGATTAGTCGGCCAATTGATAAAATAGTCAATAGATTAATCTCTAGAAAAACAGTCATTAGAGGCAGACTTATTATGGAGTATAGCTTTCCCTGTTCCCCATAGTATACATTCCATATATAACAGCTTTCCCGGTTCCCTGTACAGTACAATCCCGTTATAGTGGACTCGCTTATAACGGAATATCGTCTATAACAGACGAGGTCCGCTGGTCCTGGCCGTGCGCCTTTAAGAACATGCAGAAAAAGCATCGGATATAGCGGACTCGCATATATCGGAATTTCACTTATAACGGACAAACAATTTGGTCCCCAGGGCCGCTTTTAACTGTAGTTTTGTTCGGCTATAACGGACATGCAGTTCCGCCTACAAAGCCTGTGGCGTGCCGGTGATATCCAAAGCAGATACGTAGTCGAGATTATTAATAATCATGCATCTGGTCAGGTAAAGTTGGATTACTACATGTACAATATAATAATCAGGGTTCCCGCTGCCGGTCGTCACTCTCGTCATTGACGAAAACGGAACCCATGGTGACGAAGAAAAACGGCATCAAATCGTCACTCTGGCGAATTCAATTTTCAAATGACGAATTTTAAATTTTTGAAAAGTCGAATTTCATTTTTTCCCCAATTTTCAACCGTAGCACCCGTAGGGCCTAATCAAAACTGGCCCGGCGCCCCGGACACACGATCGTCGATCACCCATGTCAAATGAGCATGGGCCGTTCTAAAAGTAGCAAATGTTATCGATCGGTGTGGGGACATTCTAAAATGCTTAATGTGAAAACGCTTAATGTGGTTTAATGTACCAAAATAGCGACCGATAGTCACCAAATTTCGCACACATCTGGTCATAAACACTTTCACCTGACAAAAAATCAAAACTGAAATACAAGGAATTTGGACTTCATTTTACGTTAAGCGTTTTCCCCTCCATTGACGCCCATTATAAGGAAAAGGCTTAATGTAACTTAAAGTACCAAGACAGCCACCAAAAATCACCAAATTTCGCACACATCTGGTCATAAAGACTTTCACCTGACAAAAAATCAAAACCGAAATACAAGGAAAATGGACTTTATTTTACGTTAAGCGTTTAATGTAACTTAAAGTACCAAGACAGCCACCAAAAATCACCAAATTTCTCACACATATATCTGGTC